AATTGCTTGCATTAGTATGCCTACGCGTGTAAAATATTTGCAGTTTTCTTCTTTATCCATTCATTTCATGATCCAATTTCCATTCTCATCTTTGAAGCCCCTTGTGTTAAACAAAAGTTTCATCAAAACGGACCTTATCCGCAGATGTGGGGCCAGAGTGCCAGGTCTTTTCGTCTAACGCATCTTCTGCGTTTGCAAAATGCAAATAATAATGGATGACAGTAATAGAAGAAGTGTTTTTCAGTCGGGCGAATTGAAAAAACTAGAAACTCTTCTGGGTCATACTGATTGGATTTGCTGTATAGCTGTTCGGGGTGAGTTCTTTTGACTCTCACGATTGCTAGCAATCAAGTTATGCTGTGTGGATTGCGATTATAATTTACACCCGCATTTTTCGTAATGAGATTTGCTAGATGCTAAAGTTTCCTCTGCCATTTTGCAGCTCTCGTTTTTACTTCAGTTTAATAACCAGTCTGACCAGTTTGCGCCCATTACCTATTCTTATGTAAAGTGAAAAAATGCAGTTTAAATTAGATCGGTCTAGAGCAGAGAGGGGGGGGGGGGTCAGCTGCTGGCAGCATCCACACTTTAATAATAACGATGCTTTACATTCTCTGTTCTTCATCTTAGGATCCGAACAATCATATTATTCTTGGATAATTTTTCAGCATGCGATGATGGTATTTTGGCTGCATGTGGTGGACAGGATAATGTGGTGCGTTTATGGCGTTTTTCTGCTTCAAAAATGGCTGACGAAGATTGTGACGAAGGAAGAATTCGGTTTAAAACGATTGAATTCACATCATTAAATGACAAATCTAAAGGTATTTGCTTTTTTTTTGTGAGAATGTTAGGTTAACTTCGACCGGCGTATGGTTGCATTTTGACAACACCAACAGCTCCATGCGGTAGTCCTTGATAATGTTGATGATAAGGCTTTTCGGTGTTGGCAGTGAAATTGCTTTTGAATAAGGACGAACTCAATGTGTCAGCTGTTTTTGAGGTTAGGCAGTGAGTAACAGGGTTAATGGCGTGAAATGCTGCCCGGCTATTGAACAAATGTGAAAGAAA